CTCGTAGAGATCCCTGCTGGGTTTCTGAGGCTGTAAATCTTTATAGAAGTAGATCAAGCCCATCATCCTTCCATGGAGTGGCTGGTGGGTTTGAACAACTGACCTTCTGGTTAGCAGCCATATATACATATGGTTACATGGTTATACAGTTATATACAATTATATCATTACGTAGTTATATATATATATATATATATGCGCTGTTGCTGTTGTTGAGTTCTATCAAGTTGATTCTGATTCATAGTGACCTCACATGACAGAATAGAACTGCCCCACAGGGTTTTCTTGGTTATAATATTATAATATTATTTTTGGAGCAGATCCTCAGGTCTTTTTCCCACAAAGCTTCTGGATAGGTTCAAACCACCAATGCTTTTGTTAGTAGCTAAGGGCTTAAGTGTTAAACCACCAGGGCTCCTATACACATGCATGCACGCACACAAACACACACACAGAGAGAGAGACAGAGAGTGAGAGAGAGAGAGAGAGAGAGAGATGAAATTCTTCAACATCAAGAATTTGAAAAGAGAAAGAGAAATCTCAGCACTATTACTTTTCAAGTTCATACAACCACGGAGAGCATAGTGTACTCTAGAGGCAGTTACCAAAACATGTCATAATTGGAAGTGGGGTTGTGATATTACATTTTGATACATGACATAGTTTCTATAGCAATAAAAGTATTTATGTTCTTGTTTTAGGACTCTAACGTTTCTTTTAAAAATATGTTCCTCATAATTTTAGTCTTTTGGTATTTTCTGTGAACAAAGAATATCATGTTCAAATAAATTTGAGAAGTGCTGGAAAGCATGCCTCCCTCTTAAGAGAGTAATATAAAGTGATATATTAAAATTAAAAATAAAAAAGCTGCTTAACCTTGATTAATCTTGTTTATACTTCCAATTATACTTTGTCCTTAGAACAATCTTCTTCATAGAACAACTAGCAATATCCCCAAGAAAGAATCTCCCATAGAAAATATTTTAAGATATTTTTTAAACTACAAAACCTAAAGGATCTGTTTTGACTCCACCTTTAGGGTGAGAAATACTTTCTTTTGGAAATGATCAAGTTGCTTGTAATGTAAGTCCTGGGGCACAGTTGAAGCCTAGACCTGCATCACTGCCCAGGATTATATGTGCAACAGAATACAGATGACAGGAAATTGGGAGTCAGGGAGCATATTGTCATATTTTAGCTGCTGGAAGGAGCTTTGGTGGTGTAGTGCCTAAGGCACTTGACTGCTAACCAGAAGGCTGGCGGTTCAAACCCACCAGCCACTCCGCAGAAAGAAGGTTGGGCAATCTACTTCCATAGTGATACTGCCTTGGAAACCCAAGGAGGGGGTCACTATGAGTTGGGGCCGACTTGACGGCACATAACAACAACAACAACAACTAGCTGCTGGAAAAGTGGAAGCAGAGTCCAAATATGCATTTATGAAATCTTAGAATCCATTCCTGCTGCAGTACTTTTTTCTCCAATTGTATTTGCTTTAAGAAGCTCTGGTGGTGCAGTGGGTAACACATTTGGCTGCTAACCAGAAGGTCAGTGGTTCAAACCCACCAGCTGGTCTGTGGGAAGAAGATGAGGCAATCTATTTCTGTAAAGATTTACAGCCTTGGAAACCTAAGAGGGGTTGCTATGAGTTGGATTTGATTAGATGACAGTGGGTTTGGTATTTACTTTGTCCTTCAAATCATTCTTGAAAAACTGCTCTGATTCATATATACTGGGCTTATTTTTTTTTATCATAATTTAGAATTCTCTTCTAAACTCTCCAAACATACTTAGAATTACATAGTTCATTTCCATAATGTTGTATAACACACTCTTCCACCTCACCCTCTGTGCAACTATATTAAAACTAAAATAATTATGTCTTAAATTCATTGGCATCCTCATTAGATCATTTAGTTTCAACAACCAAGGAGTAACCAAATGCATAATAAAATTTATTAGAATAAATCTAAGTGCTTTAAATTTATTTGTACTCTCATACTGAATGGTGCCATATAATTAGGATATAATTATGCATGCAATAAAACTTTGCTGTGTAAATGAGTGCACAAATTACACTTGGTCTCTTTTACACTCACATGGAGTGGAGTGGATCATAGGAGTAACTATTGTCTATATGTTTATATCCAGGTATCCCCCTTCAAAAGTTCACATTATGACATTTCAATTTTATTAATGTTCCAGTGAGGTACATTAGTACCTGTTTTCGCTAACCAAAAGAAATCTGAAGAGGAATTTCACTTTTATGAAAAAAAGGAAAAAACGAAACTAGTGCTTGGTGTTTGTTTTGCCACGAGCTGTTAAAGAGGCAGCGAGCTCCTTGACCAGCAGGAGTGGCATCACCCAGTTCCTTCCCCGGGAACTACACTGTACATACATTATTTCTATTTTAGAAAATCTGTGTATTTCTCATATCATTCCTGCTTTTACTATATGTTAGTGTTATTTTAGGTTTTATGCATTATTTGTTATTATTTACTAAGCTATTTTTTGGATCTGGGAAGAGTTGGAGATTTTTCCCATATAAATGAATGGCTTCTTCACTTTATGCCATTTCAGCTTATGAAAAGTTTCATAGGAATGTTCTCCTTTCAGATGGGGGGGGGAACCTGTATTTATATAGCTATGTATCCAAACATCTCCATATATGGTTATAAGCTGAATATTCTGCAATCACAAGATGTGACTGTGATAAAACAAATTATTAATATTGTGAAAAAAAGTTCTCCTTACAATGAATTAAATTTCTAAAATATTTCACTAATAAAGCCATGTATCTATCTTTACAGAGCCATCTAAACTATTCTAATGTGAAAAAGAAAAAAAGAAAAAAAGTTGTAAGTAGAATATTAGATTTAGAGACTTGTAACACACAATATAAATATTTAGTGACAGTATGAAAGAAGGCTGAGCAAATAGTATCCAATGATGCACGCAACAAAAGCAAATATCTTAATATGAAGGACATCATCAACACATTAGGAAAAGAGTAGTCCAGAAAAAAAAAAAGAAAAAAAAAAAAAAAACCTTCCTTCACTATTAGCATAGTCGGAAGGAAGGATGGGCAATCCTACTTCCGTAGTGATACTGCCTCGGAAACCCAAGGAGGGGTCGCTATGAGTCGGGGCCGCCTAGACGGCAAACAACAACAACAACATAATCCAAATACATGAGAAAGGAGGTTCAGTAATTATAGACCCCTTTTAAGAAAGGATCAAAAAGTCTCAGAAACCTATAAAAAGATTAATATTCAAACTCATATTGGGACCCTTGAGTTTACATCAGTGTCAAGATCAGACAGTCAAACAGAGTCTGTTCCAAAAACAAATCAATACTGGTTACTCTTCTTCCATGAGGGAAAGGTTAGGGAAGTATGCTGCTCCTTCTCAGAATAGCTATTGGTTTCATGGGTACTCAGTCTATTGCTCTAATGGCTTAACAAGAAAAAAAAAGTAACATTCTATTTTTATTTCTTTCCATGTTTAGGATTTTTTTATGATGAGGAAATCAGTAGACTGAGATGTGAGAAATAGGGTAGATTTCAGAAAGACTCAAGCTAATTAAAGTATGGGCAAAAGTTCTCCTTTAAAGAAAAAGGAGAAAAACAATATAAAACTAATTAATGCTAATTTGTTGGGGGTATTTTTAACTAGATGTTTATATCTATCCCCAGCTGAACAACATTAAAATGGGAAATCTAATATAGAACATGTTATAATATGAAAAACTTTGGGAATTATCTGGATATACTCTCCATATGCCTCTCATTAATGATGATGATTTTTAGGCAGTGAATATAAAATACAAAACTATTATACATGTACTGTGCTAAAGTGAAAATTATGGGTTTATTTTGCCCATTAAATATCTCCCATGAGGGCCAAAGCTGACTTATCAGAGTTGTGGTATTATTTTGCGGAGATTGTCATAAATCATTCTTACCTGTAGTAGTTCTGGAAGATTAAATATTTAAGGATTTGGTAGACACAAGCGTTTTCTAAATGTCTTGCCAATATTCTGTGTCTTTGTGACTAAATTATTCCTATATTTTCCCTTCTTTTAAGTTATTAGGACAAACATTAGCATCTTTGAGTTCTTCTGAGACTTGTCAATACTAGTGCTAGTTTATATTGTATGAGCCAATGTACCTGGTGGAATTAGACTGCTTCTCTTTCATATTCTCTCTAAAGACAAATATCTTATTTTCCAGGTATATGGTGAAAATTGAGGGAAGGTGGAACAGGGTTTGCTATAGAGCTGGTGTTATAATGACACTCAGAATCTCCTCGTTGGTGAATAATGGCTGTTGATGTTAGGAGCTGTCAAGCCAATTTTCAACCCAGAGGGACTCCATGTGACAGAGTAGAACCAATCCCTAGGGTAGTTATTGCTACCATATACAGCAATAGATAACTGAAACAGGACATGTTAGAAGTGGTGGGAATTAACATTCCCCAGGATAAGTCTTCAAGCAATGATGGATCAGTGTTTTGTTGTTGGGTGCTGCTGAGTAAATTTTGACCCAGAGTGACTCCATGTGACAAAGCAGAACTTTCCCATAGGGTTCTTAGACTATAGCCTTTATGGAGCAGGTCACTAGGTCTTTTCTTCCATGGAGTCACTGGGTGGGTTTAAACCAACAACCATTAAGTTAGCAGTCAAGTGCTTAACCATTACTCCAGCAGAGCTCCTTGAATGAACAGCTATATGCACTCAATTGTCCTAAAACTAAAAGCAAAGAATACATTCGAAAAACACGAACTCAATGAATGAATTGAATGCATGTCATTTTATCTCTTGGACCCTTGTAATATTATGACTAGAAGCTACAGTTAGTTAAGTGTTTGCCAACAACATGCCCAGACTTGATACCAGTTCACTTGCAAATATCTGGAAGACCTTTTCTACGCAGTATTCATGAAAAAGTACTCAAAGAGGATAAGAGCAACATATAATAAAACACATATGGGAAGAGAGAGTGAACCAACATGGTGCTAAAAAATGACCTTCCTCCATAAGGTCAAATAGTTTTATTTTGATTAAACACTACAATACAGTATGTATCCATTAAAAAAGAAAATTCTATAGTGTATATAAATTATTCCTTCCATTCATCAATTCTTTTCTTTTCCCATTACAGCTTTGGTACAATGTGATTTCAGTATATAATATTTAAATACTTTTAGCATCACAAACTCAACACAAAGTACAAAACTAATCCAAATTAGGGATATTACAGTCTACACAGTGGTATTCAGTGGTAGGAAAAAATCTTACCTTGATGAATTCATGTCACTAGCTAAGCTATAAAGGCATACCTAGCAGACATGACAGAAATATGCACCATTAACCAGCTAATGTGTGTATTAGTCTTTGTTTTGTACAGAATACCAGCAGCAACCATTTGAGTGTTGAGAGAAAACTTAAGTCCTCAGCCAGTTTTTTCATGTTGCTCCTCTTCCCTTAAAGGCCATGAGTAAAATCTGAAGAAATGTACCACCGACCAGAGCTCTCAGAATTTGACCTGCCATCCGGCGTTGCTCATACTTGCACAGTTTGTCCTGCAGCTAGCCGACATCATGGGGACAGTGCTGGAGGGGCAGTGTGGGCCAATCAGCCGCAGATTGTTCTGAGGGGTCTGCGGTGTGACGTTACAGTAAACAGGCATCCCAGTGGCTGGGAGTGACCCTTGACCTGCCTGGTTAGGTAGTATGATTGGCTGTTGGTATGACTGCTGGGGCAGTCCTTGAGAACCCTGGGTCATTGGCACCTGTAGGAAAACACAAGAGAAAACCCTGCATGAAGAGGCAAGGTATGGGTATACCACGTGCCACTCTGATGCCATGAAAAATTGTAAGCTTTCGAGTTAGATCTAAGAGGCCATCAATTCCAACCATGCTACTTATTAGTTATTTCACATTGGGCAAGTCACTTAACCTCTTTGATTGTCTAGATTCTTTGGATATAGCACATACTTGAAAGCATTAAAAAGGTCACAAATAATTCACAATGCTTGGTACTATGTCTGGAATACAAGGCAGTTGTTGTTGTTGTTATGTGCCACTGAGTCAGACCCAACTCATAGCAACCCCTCCTTGGGTTTCCGAAGCAGTGTAACTACAGAAGTAGATCGTCCAACCTTCCTTCTGAGGAGTGGCTGGGGAGTTTGAACCACCAGTCTTCTGGTTAGCAGTCAAATGCCTTAGGCACTATGCTACCAGGGCTCCTTGAAAGGCAGTAGCTACTCAGAGAGTGTTCCTTTCCTTCCTTCCTCTCTCTTCATGCCCTCCAGGGTCTGCAGTCTGGATCTCCCAGACTCTAAACTCTAAACTGGTTTCTCTCACTTTAGAAAATCATGCTCCCATTCTGGTCTTATGCAAATAAGCAGGCCTATAGCTCTCCATAGTAAGAGAGTCTTTTGTCCCAAGCATTCCCCAATATTCATTCTCATCTGTGGCTTTAGAGGACATCTAACTTGGAGCAAGATGAAGAAACTGATATAATGTGTATAGGATAGATCAGAGTCTAAGAGGGCCTAGCAGATTTCTTGGGGCCAGAAGCACCTGGTAAAACTACATTTATGACAAAAACCATTTAATTAACCCATTCATTTCCTCTTCCAGAGTGTTCCAGGATACAAATGAGAAAAGGGTGCCTAACACTTTCTAAATACTTAACTTGGGTTTAATGTGGAAAACGCAATGGTTAGTCTCCCTAAAGATCACTTAAATGAATCTGAGATGTCACTTAAAAATCCCTTGTAATTGCAAATTACGATAAAACAAAGTTTCTTTGAGAGTATACAAAAATGTACCCCTGAGGAGAATTCCTCATAATCACTTTCTACCAGCAAGCAAAATATCGATAGAACACCCAAAAGTCTTTATGGGTAGAACTTTAGACAGAAGAGTTCTTCACTGAACAGAAGAAAGTTTATATGGAAACAAATTTAACAGGGCATTCAAAAGTCATAGTAGCTACAGAAACATAGCTCTCCCATTTTCTGCTTTTCTGTTATAATCTTGACTCAAAGTAATCATCCAAAGTGGTTTAACAGCACACACCAACCAGGCAAACACCTAGCCAGGGACATAACCACACCCTCCACTTTGGCAAATCATGATTTCCCCAGCACCTGATAAGAAGACATGGTTGGGTAGGAGACCATCACACTTTGCACCGGAGTTCCTTGTTGATTGCTCATCACAGTCTGACTCTGTGGTGGCTGCTGCACTCCTATTAGGCCTTGGAACCCCTGTTGACCAGACAAGACTGGCTGGTAACCTGGAAAGAAAAATGACATTTTTAACTAGTTGTGCCAGGAAGAAGTGATATTTCATGGGGTAAGGACACTAGTTCACAAAGCAATCTTCAGCCATCTCAATTTCTGTATCAGGAATATGCTATCCAGATAGTTACTTCCTAAGAATGTGTTCATACTTCTAAGACTACAGAGAAATATGGTTTCAAAAAATTAACTGGCATTTCCACTCTTTTTTTTTTTTTTTTTAATTGTGATTTGGGTGAAAGTCTACAGAGCAAATTTACCTTCCATACAGCAGCTCACATACATTTTTATCTCATGACACTGGCATTTCCACTCTTATGCAGCACTGTCCAATGAGCATACTGTGACAGCTGGTAATTCCTCAGGACACATAGACAGAAACTTTTATTGATATAATTTGCTTGCTATAAACTAAATATTTAATATTTGGCTGTTTCTTTGCTTTTGATCTTTGGAAAGTTCACAGATTTTCAAGGTTCCCCCCCCCCCCATGAAACTGACTATTTCTCTCTTCTCCAACCTTCCTGCTTCCTGCACTATCTCATTTCACATAGAGACGATCAAGCAGCCTGTTGACATTGGTGGTTTCTTTTCTTTCTTTATTTTTTTAACGTCCTAGTGAACATACTGAGTTAATATTCTGAGTAATTCACTGTCTATTGCCTTTGACTAAAGCCAAAAGCAAGTGAAAGATACAGCCTGCTTTTATTCTACTTCACCAATAGCTTCCAAGAGAATGTTATGGTAAAACACTCCAACAAGTGACCAGGTACATCTAATAGATTACATCCAATACTACAGAATACAACATTTAAACTACTATGTATATTGTCCTTCTGCATGGGCCACTTGGTTTGTATGCTTTCCTTTTTCTTTTAAGTAGACCAGGATTTATTATTCTAATTATTTTTATCCACACTACAAGTGATTTAAAATGCATGCCTAAAGTAAGACAATGAACTGTTCTTACACATGTTGGGAAGAAAATTATGATTTAAGTGAAAATAACATGGTGGTAGAGAAACAGACTTATCCACTTAATGCTATAAAATAAGGTCCTTCCAGGGTTCATATTATTAACCATGCTGAGTATCAGAGAGTAAGTGGAACTGCCTTAACACAACTACCTGAGAGAGAAAAATTCTAAAAAATATAATTTTTTTTAATGCAAACCTAAACTAGATTAAATTACCTAAATTTTGCAACCATATCTTTTAAGTTTAAACAAAAGGGGAAAAAAGACCAAATTAATGCACATTTTTAATAAATAACCTATATTTTAAATGCATGTGACAGTTTTAAATTCATATTGAGGAAAATTATAAATAATCCTTATGGAAGACAATCATTTTCTATCATTTGTATACAAACCCTGCAAAAAAATATACCTTTACTCATGTCAGAAATAATGTAGAAAAACCAGGGCTTCTAACCAAGATCCCCAGGTGACTCTCATAGGTCCCCCTTATGTAGACATAAGAATCACCTGGGGAGCTTCTTAAACTGTAGATTCTGATTCAGTATATCTATATTCAGTATATGGAGTGGAAATGCAACTTCTCAGCAGGGAGTCAAACTGGAATAGGCCAGCTGGAAGCCTTGGGAAAAATAGCTTGCAAATAATAATGAATTAGGAAATGAGCTCAATTCATCAAACATAGTTGAAGCAAGGTGCAGTTTGAAATACCTAGAAAAGGAAGGTTAGGGAAAGGCCAATTTGGAACGCCTGACTTGTGCCTTCAACCAGTAGGTGAAGCAAGTGTGTAATTTAAAGCCACCCTTTGATCTTCTCTATGTGTTCTGTGTTATGCTCACATTCTCACTCACTCACTGCTATGGAGTCAATTCTGAATCATAGTGACCCCCCATTGGGCTTCCAAGGCTGTAAATCTACACAGAAGTAGACTGCCTCATCTTTCTTCCAGTGAGTGGCTGGTGGGTTTGAACCACAGACCTTTTGGTTAACAGCCAAATGTCTTAACCACTACACCACCAGAGCTCTTATATTTACATTACCAGAAAAACCAAACTCACTGTTGTTGAGTTGGATCCGACTCATAGTGACCCCTCCTTGGGTTTTCGAGGCGTTATCACTATGAAAGTAGATTGCCCAACCTTCCTTCTGAGGAGTAGCTGGTGGGTTTGAACTGCCAGCCTTCTGGTTAGCAGTGAAATGCCTTAGGCACTATGCCACCAGAGCTCCTATGTTTACATTACTCACTCTACTTCTTTTTCACAGTGGTTTTATCTAATTGATTTATTTAAATTATTGAAAAACACCATGTTAAGAATAGAATTAAAGTTACCAGCTACCTTTCTTCTAGCTACATTCTGGATACAGTTAACAGTCAAAGCCTTTAACATGCTCAGCAGTTCTATTTTAAGATGCTAGTAACATCAGCTCCATAAGCTTTTTGAAGTGTTTACAATATATACAATTGGGAGAAAGCATCAGATTTGGGAACAGGAAATACTACTGAGGCCAAGCCCCTGTTATCACTAACTCCCAGAATGTCTCCTCTACAGAGGTACTTGAGAGAAATGTCTTTTAATATTAAATGCAAAAAAAACCCAAAAACTTTCTATTATTTGTCATTGTCTAGATCTTTTACTCTAATTACTCTTTCATCCATTAGAACTGAAAAAAATTTCATTGCTAGTTTATGAAAAGAGCTCTGGTAGCGTAGTGCCTAAGGCACGTGACTGCTAACCAGAAGGCTGGCAGTTCAAACCCACCAGCCACTCCCCGGAAGGAAGGTTGGGCAATCTACTTTCATAGTGATACCACCTCGGAAACCCAAGGAGGGGTCACTATGAGTTGAGTCCAACTCGACAGCACTTAACAACAACATTATTTTATTAAAACATTATTTCAAGCTAATTAAATCCTTTGTTGCATGAATAGTTATATACATAAGAAAATAACTTGGTAGAATTGTAGAAAACTTATGATCAGCCATCTTCCTTGCCATTTAGTTTTATAGCAAAAGGCAGGTAATGTGAACTCATTCTGAGTCCATGTAATTGTAAATATAATAGAGCCTTATTTCTGGATGAAGATCTAAGCACATGGTGCAAATGAAAGACATATCTTAAAATTGTGGCTCATATTTGATCATTTGGCCAAAGGTCAGTTGGGCTCAATGGACCTTTTGCAGAATATCCACAGCTACTATATAAATAAAAACAGATAAAGAGAGGACAGGAGAGGGGAGGGAAAAAAAAAAAGGAAGGTGGGGTGGCCTTGCGTCCAAAGATTATTTATATATTTGCTTATTCAATCCTTTCATCCTTTCATGGTATCATCTTGTTCCAAACTAAATTGCAATGGCCTACGAAAGATTCATTTATTGCACCAGCCTCTAAACCAAACTGGGAAGAAAGGAAAATATGTCTTATCATAATAGAGCTGTTAAGAAACTCAGAGAACAGATGGCCTTGGTAAGGAGAGGAAGCAAAATCAAGGAGAGAAAAAGAATAAGGAGGCTGTGCAGCTTTATTCTAATAAAGGCTCACCGCCATGAGAGTGCAATTCATCTTTGCTGAGAGCACTGACGCAGCCGCACTGCAGTGCCTCCCTTCCTGGCCTCCTCTGCCTGATGATTTGTGAACTTTAATATTCATTTATGCATAGCAATGGGCTATCAGCTTTGCACTGGGGTTCCCAGAGTAAACACACATCAAATAAGGATTTATGTGGGGGGCAAACACTACAATTTCAAAACGAAAATTT